AGTAGTGTGCTCCACAAAGAAAGTACTTACCATGCTTTTTTATATCCGACCAGTGACGTTGAAGTTTCCGAATGCCACTGATGATTGTGCGAATTGGTTTAAACTACACTGTACACAGACCGTTTGAAGGAAAATGACGGTACAGTTCAAAGAATATCCGTCCGACATCACTAACATATCATTCACACCTTACCCTAAATCGTTTGACCTTGAGATTGTGTGCACCAGGGCCAAATGGATAGAATTAATTGAAAGTGTGTCCAACGGTCCCGTTCAAAAACCTAGAAGATGGATATCTGCGTTTTTCGTAACACAACTGCGCACTGCCCAGCGAAATTTTCCGTAAAATGTGACCTGTTTTTTAGCCTCATGTGTGCGTCATCGCCGGACCCGGCGAGCAGGTGCTCTTATGTTTTGTTCCACCTAAGCAAGCCATCCGGTAGACGTTGCTACCTTACGATCGAAGACAGCGCAATGTTCAGCCGCGTTCACAAAATGCAGGTCAACCAATGTAGCATTATGTTCATCTTTTTTGTTCCCAATGACTTCCCTACTTTTCCGTAAATGTCTCATCTGTTCCAATCCACCTCATCTTTGTAATTTGTTTCGCATGACGACAATCAATCAATTTGTAAGGGCAGTGTGATCGATGCCCATTACTTTTCGAACACTTATTATTATTCCTGCAGCTGAAGTTAGAAAAGGATAGTAGGTTAGCCGACAGCGATCGGACCAATTTGTCCTCCAACCTTAACGCCGACATCTTTGAGCTGACGAAGCTTCTATAGCAAAAGGAAACACTTCGTATTGCACCAGCGGTTGACCCCGACTGCATAGTGATCCCGCGGATATCCGCTTCACAACTTCATATTGTACTACATCAGTAGTTAAATCGTGTCTCCGAAACATCCCGCATTTCCGGAAGTTTGGGAGTTGCGAAAGAACTCACATCAGAGCCCTATCCACCTGGTAATCTGTCGAAATCGTACCCCACCCCCTGGGAGCGCACGAGGTTATTTTTTAAATGGTATACAACCTTCGCAGTCCCTGATGACGTGCAGAAATTTTCAAGCAGGATGAGATAACAATCCACCGATGCAGTAGGTTGACTGGATCACACGAACCCGGAGATCCAAGACGTAAGCAGGAAAAAGGATTTCCGACTGGGCTAAGTGGGTTTCGGCAGGTCCCGGACAAAACGAATATAGGGCTTCTGCCGCACAAACTTTCCGAGAAGGACACTGAAAAGCCCTTTTTGTTCCTCTAACCAACCGGAAGGCAATGCATTCAGATTGACTTACAAATGTCAGGAACATTCGCCAAAAACGGAACGTCACCGAATGACGTTCAAATCTAATCCAAATCGGTCATTGATCCAATCTACCTCTTTACTCGAGCAGTGAAGAGGCACAAAAATACTTTTGGCCACAAAATTATTGTTTCTTAGAAGCGTCTGGTTTTGGGGGTAGCCAGTCCATTATGTGCAGTTAATTTCAGGACAGGGCAGCAGTTGAAAACATTCCCTCATCCGAATCAGTTTCCTTTCAGGAGCACACCCTTAGACGTTAGTTTTGTGGTTTTCGTTTCTGTAGGAGGTAAACCGCTGGATAACCAACGACCTCCAGGTTCACAGGAATCTCCTCTAAACTGACCTAACCCAACTCTCCAGAAACGCATATTATCAACATGACTTAGTTCAGTATCTCATCATTCAGCGCGACAAAAGCGCCGTATTGCGTAAAATAATATCATGTGACGCCAAAATACATGGAAAAAAGACGCTAACAAACGCATCTGGCACTATCAGTTGTGAATACTGACAGAAGGTCTACACATTTCCCTACGACTTATAAAGCTGTCAAATCAGCCACCTCAAGACGGGAGAATGGTGGTAAAATGTACTGGAAGTTATCTTCAAATGGGAGTGGGAAGATATAGATGATCCATGAACGTTCTAGAAGAACATATGAACCCAAAGGTGGTATCAGTGAGTATCACAGTTAGTTAATGCCAAAGCCAATGATCCCCGCAATGGTTTCTTCGCTCTCAAAAGGCAAGTCATTTCAGGTAGTCTCTGTTAGGCTAACTACTAATGTGAATGGACATGTAGGGAGACAGTATTCAGAAATCCGAACGTTGCGTCATATCCGACTTGTACGGTTCATGCACTGTACAGGATGGCCCAATCGACAGACCAATATTTAGAAATCATCTGAGGGCCGAAACCATGAGTGATGTGAGGTACGTTAGGAAACGGTTCGACAAAACCGTCCATTGCCGCGAATATGACAACGACAACCAAATGCCATCTACGTACTACCCTAGTAATAGAGTCCTGAATCGTCTCCAGAATAAGAGAGGGCAGCACCTTTGTTGCGAACTGAAGCAACAAACAAGTCTTATGGGCACCCAAAAACCAAATTATCCACACTGCTAACGAACAGCGAGAGGAAGCACATAAAGATTAACCAGGGCAAGTGAAGTCCGGTGTTTTAAAAGACTGGCATATCACCCTCAAAACATAAGTGGAGACAGTCAAAAAAGCGGCAAAAGTGAGTTAAACCATAAGAAAAAGGTAACAACCAGTCAACACGTGCGAACAGAGCAAATTCTCCGTGTAGTATTCGACTAACCTCATTGTCCTCGAAATTAATCAGGGGTGCGTACTTGAAAAAATGAGTGGGATGAACAGTTAGTGATGCTGAAAACTTGTAAACCAGGACAGAACGACATTTTTTCCATACCAAACAGAAAATGCTTGCAACTCAATGAAAACGAGTGAAGTGGCTTCAGTGAGAAACGGTGTGTAAAACACAAGAACTGATGAAATGTTTCCATATTACGACCCTCAGAATCATGGAAAGCGTTTTCCAAGTATGAATTCAAACGAATGATTTAGGCAAAGATCAAGCATACATATAGTTCAATGAACATTGCGGAGTTCTGGTAAAACCGAGGAGTGGCGTAAAACTGTTTCAATCTTGTACGTGATCAGCAGAGGCAGTAGGCACGCATCAAAGATCTCATAAATTGTCCGTGATTCGAACTAGCAAATTTCAGCAAGGGAGTTTACGGCACTACATTGGAGTTACAGGCCATTGTTAACAAGCCAATCATCCCCATGAGATATGGCACTACTCATCGTCACCCGCGCAAAGACCCATTCTAATGGATCATAGACGTTGGCAAAGTAAATTCATAAAAGCACTGAGAAAAATCGATCACACACACCTTTAGTTATAAGATAGCAGAGTAGTTAACACCTGTTCGCTGAGAGAGCCGCGGCAGGTCAGAGAATGTTGAAAACCATGGCCTATAAAAATGGAACTGAACAGTAGCTAGACGTCAAAAGCAATGGGTGAACACCTCGAATTTCGCAAGCTTAACCCATCAAACGATCCCAAAATCGTTCAGCTATAGCACCCTTTCGGTGCCCTCGGTTGCACGAGAGCTGGGATACTGCCAAGCTGCCCAAGCCTAGACAGGGTAAGTCGAGAGGCAGAGGTCGGGTTCGAACCACTGACCTTCTGGTCAGTAAATTCGCGTTCTGACCACTTGAGCCATCTTAGTCAATAGACTGACTTAAAATTCGCGGATGACAGCACAGTGCAAATAATACAAAGCCGCTTGGATCTCTGGACGATCACACAACGTGTCCTGGACGCTGCATTCCCAGACCCTATCCAAATCATATGACTTCGCCCCGAAATCCCACAAAACAAGCTAGTAATTGAACGGCTACACCAGCGGATTCAGTAGCTTTCAGTCGGGACGGAAGCTCCTACACAAACCAATTATACTATTCAGAGAAACTGAGAAAAAAGTACGCGAGACGGAAAATCGAGGTTGTAGGTTACTCAGGGATAGGAATGTGTGAATTTTTAGCTGACAACTGGAAAAAAGGCATTTCTCAAGACTGTATTAACTAGCATGCATTTCACGTAGTGTATTGCATGTGTTACCAACAGAGCTATGTATCCGTTTCTTGACAATCTATCGCATTCTATGAGTTCCAATAAAGAAGATAGGGCGGGTCAAGTGCGCATTCTCAGGTTGACTAATTTTTTCACAGATTAGCCTGAGTCGAATAAATATGCAACGTGATGGGCTTCCAAAAACCCCGCCTTCTGAACGCCAAACGCTGAGGGAGATGTGTGTGACGGTTGTATACTACTGGGTGCATTAATAACACGGATAAGAGAATAACGTGTGCATTTACACAGAGACTACTCAGTACGCGCACAGTCAGTACGAACAGACCTATTGAGACGTGGCTAGGCTCTCGCGAATCAAGTTGTTTTTAGATTCGGCAGTCTTCTTTGGTACTTCTTTGAAACAGTAGTTGGGGATGTTGTACATAAAAGCGACAGTGCCTACAATAGCTGTGCAGAATGTATATAACAGCAAGCAGAGAGGTAGTAGATTTCTACCTGGTTCATCACCTAAGATTTCAAGAGAACCGACATTTTGTGTATATTGTGATGGAATGAATTCACTAAAACCGACCGATAGATAGGGTGTTTACTAATAGTGCCACAATACACGAATAACCCAATTAGCCCATTACAGCATTGTTTGTATAACCGAAAGCAGAACAGAAAAGTGACTCATGGTTGGGTGACGACACTATAAAAGATGTGACGACGACAGTACGCAAAATGGGCGTCGTTGGTTGCAATAAGAACTTGTCAGCTGGTCGTGGGAATCTACGGGAAAAAGTTTCATTAGCACTGGTGCGTGCAGACAAAGCAACCAGGAAAACTGTATACGCCGGTGTTAACACCGGCCGAGGGAACAGAAGTGCTTGAACAAGCCTCAGAGAAAATTACTGACACCAGATCATTTGCCAAAGGAAACTCAGTAGGTGATGAATAAGCACCACAGCTGACTGGTTAAACCCAATACATTAAGTTTAACATCAGAAGTAGTGTAGAACATTTATAAGCATAGACCTTGCGACCACGATGTCACCCCCTACTCAACTGTTATTCTTGATTCAGACAACATCAGCCAGTGGGGGAAAACAGCCCAGAGCCGTAGCTGAACATACCAAATACAAGGCCAAAGATATTGACAAAAATTCCTGTGGGTTTGGCTTCCCATCAGAATACAGGAGGGATGTTGCCGAGTAGACAAATCAAACAGGAATAGGTCGCTAGTAAGAGTCACACAGTTCGGTTCCTGCGCTGGTTCATGAGTAGTAGACAACACCCTTTGGGTCTACAGGCGGAAACGACACAAAATGTCAAGGGACGCCGATTATGACAGCTGACCTACGAAGGTGGGCTAACAAGAACGAATTATGGGGAAACTAACACGAGATAGGGTTAGGCGAGCAGCGGGTTGTTTTGATGGATTCATTTTAGGAATTTCTCTAGAGAACAGGATGAAAATAACGGATTTTCTCAAGTAATTATCAGTAGCCAGGATCAATACAGAAGTTATGATGGATCCCCTTAAGTCATCAGCCTGTCTGATTAGAATTCCTGTCATCCTCGAAGAGTCGCAGATAAGAGTTCTGTATTCTTATAAGTTACTAGGTAGTTTCCTGAGATGGCCCAAGTAGGTAGAGCGCGAATTTACTGACCGGAAGGTCCGTGGTTCGAACCCGACCTCCGCCTCTCGACTTCCCCTGTCTAGGCTTGGGTAACCTGGCAGTATCCCAGCCCTCGTGCAGCCCTCGGGTGGCATGGCAGTTAGGCACTGAAAGGGTGCAACAGCTGAACGATTTTTCTTCCAGAGAGACTATGAAAAGGCAACGTTCCCATATGACGTTCTTAGAACGGATTATAATGTGAATTCGCAGTCCAAAAGAAGAACATAATTAGTCACTTGATATTTGGGAACATAATCACGAGTTGTACGACTGACCCAAACACTCCCTTTATGGAATTCCCGTAATATATATATGTAAAATACAAATATATATGTATAAATATAGCATTCTTGATATAATGTCACGATACCAGGTAGCATCACAGTACACATAAGTTCAAAATAATTTCAAGTGATTCAAAATGGTCACATCCTGTTTGATACTTAAATAATAGACCAAGTACAACCACTGACCACCAGCACCTCAGTACCGAAGAAGTGGCATGCTCAAATTTTCTTAGGTGGAGTCAGTTGCAGATGTGGCTGTTCAGGTGGTAAGCCAACAGTGGGTGGTTTGGTCAAACGTGCATGAGACGGTTCAGTCGACTGATTTGTGACGGCTGACTATGAACTGGTGTGCTCAGCAAGGACGGCGATGGGCTACTGATGACTCATTGATAGTTCGCGCAGTTTCAATCAGGTCAGGAACTTAAAAAAACGTTCAGCTGTAGCACCCTTTCAGTGGCTAGCTGCCATGCCCCCTGAAGGAAGCACGAGGGCTCGGATACTGTCAGGTTGCCCAAGCCTAGACAGGAGGAGTCGAGAGGCGGAGGTCGGGTTCGAACCACGGACCTTCCGGTCAGTAAGTTCGCGCTCTAACCGCTTGAGACATCTTACCATCTCAGGAACTTAGGGTATCCAAAAGCGCTAATCCAAACTGGCGAAGACAAAACGATGCTACTTGATCCGCAGCAGGAAATCTGTCTTTACACAAGTGTTTCTCCATTCCAGCATCTAAATATTCATCACTTCAATCATTGTGACGCAATAGGCAGTTATCCATGCCATGGTAGCCAGTAGCACACAGACTTTTCGAACCGGGCCACTGCACAATTTTCGTGCTTTCTCAGTAAACAAACTACGAACTGGGTTATATTGCGTTCGTATTGTGAACCACTCACCTCCTTGTGAGTCACACCTATACTCAGTGCAATATTAGTCTGGAACGGGGGAGATAGTAACCAAACGGCAAACCAAACTGTCTTCTACGTACGATTGCTGGTGAAAATGCCTGATGGAAATGGATATCCACTTTGAAACCATGGGCCTTAAATTAGCAGCGGCAAGAATTATCAAAAAATTCCTCCGCTGAGGGCTCTCGGAGCTTGGGACCACTCCAGTAAAACCGACAGCACATAATCAGCAGATCATTGAGTACGAATAAACTCTGTACGACGCTGGAGCCAAGAACATCATCCGCCTTCACCGGATGAGTTGAGTGTTCAACACTACGGTATTTATGAAAGCAAGCACTATTGCTTCTGATGTTGCTACTGGAAATGGAATCTCACATAAAAATAAATGAAAGTTGCTGTGGTGTGGAGAAGCATGATATCTAAATCTTTTTGCAGAAGCCACGAAATGCCCAGACTTTTCGAACCGGGTCACTGCACAATTTTCGTGCTTTCTCAGTAAACAAACTACGAACTGGGTTATATTGCGTTCGTATTGTGAACCACTCACCTCCTTGTGAGTCACACCTATACTCAGTGCAATATTAGTCTGGAACGGGGGAGATAGTAACCAAACGGCAAACCAAACTGTCTTCTACGTACGATTGCTGGTGAAAATGCCTGATGGAAATGGATATCCACTTTGAAACCATGGGCCTTAAATTAGCAGCGGCAAGAATTATCAAAAAATTCCTCCGCTGAGGGCTCTCGGAGCTTGGGACCACTCCAGTAAAACCGACAGCACATAATCAGCAGATCATTGAGTACGAATAAACTCTGTACGACGCTGGAGCCAAGAACATCATCCGCCTTCACCGGATGAGTTGAGTGTTCAACACTACGGTATTTATGAAAGCAAGCACTATTGCTTCTGATGTTGCTACTGGAAATGGAATCTCACATAAAAGTAAATGAAAGTTGCTGTGGTGTGGAGAAGCATGATATCTAAATCTTTTTGCAGAAGCCACGAAATGCCCTACATGGCATCCGTGACAAGCACTGCCACAGCGTGGTAACAGAGGAGACTTACAGGCCCGTTTTCAGGGGCAGCAACAGACGACGATAACATAATGGCGAATTCGGACTGTTCTATGAAACTGTCGAAAACGTGGATCTACAGATCACAAATGCAGTGGTGCAAAATAGAGACAGAGGGGTGAGGTCACTGGATTCGGTTTTTTAGGGATGAGACAGACATTCATAAACACCTGAAGAAAAGGGGATCGCCAGGTAACCAGATCACGAGTCAACGGATATCAGGATGTTTTAAGCCTTACCAAGAGACAGTAAACAAGAAATATTGGCGCCGCGCAGAGAGACTTAGGCAGAATGAGACGGAAGTTCGAATGCTAATTTACCAGTATACTGAGAATGCCATGATTTCGGTCTTCCCGTTGGGGAGCGGCACCGGGATTCACTGTTGTAAGTTACACTGAAACTGTCTCGAGGCAGAGTTCTGCATTGGAAAAAATTCACTGCTTCTTGTTTAACTGAACTTCTCTGAAGGTTCTAACGACGATAGGAGTCTCTGAGCGCGGTAGCTCTCAGAAACAGTAGCGCAAGACCAAGCGTAATAGACGACGATGGTAAATACTACAGCGACTTTTGGTCGGGTTATTACTAATTCACACATCCTTCCAGCAAGTGGAGAAAATAGTGAATAATCGACCAGGCAACAAAAAAATTACAAATCGATCGGTCTGGGAGTGGTTAAAATGCACTCAGATCAATCACGAAAAAAATGATGGCAAACAGATTGGATTGGCTATACGAAATCCGAGCGTATAGTCAACCAACTTCCGGTTGAACCACCACAGACATACGACAACGCGACCCAATGAGAATAACTGAATGAAATAAAACAGTGTAGGGGCTTCGCAAAGCGAAGACAAAATTACCATAATACAAGAGCGAGAATGAGGATATAAGGCCACTTATTAGCTTCAGCACAATAATGGCCTGCGAATAACCAACGGCAAGATCATTGTAAACCCACGAGAGAAACAGTAGCTATGGTAGATGTTCTACTAACCTGATACGGTTCCGGGTCGAGCATGGCAGTATCGAGTTTAAGCGACGCAGACAGCCGATTAATGTCAGCCTTGTTCTGGCCAAACATCACCACCGAATCGGTCGTTGAATCATGATCTCTTATCATGTCATTTAGTTTTGTGCGCGACGCCTGACTACTAATGTGTTGCGCGTATTGCTCGTCCGTAGTGAGCAGTTTCGCGACGCGGAAACAACACCACGGGACCGATTCGGTTAGTGGCGGACCACGATTCGTCAGAAGCGGCATGAGGTAACTTGTGGAAACAGAATGGAAAGTGAAGTCGGAGTCAATACATCATTGGTTGGGAATTTTAATGGCGGACAAAAGATTTCAAAATAAGCGTAAAGCACTGGAGAACAAAACCGAAATTCAATCAACTCAGAAATGCGCCCAATCTGTTCAGTCACAAGATTGCACATGAAGACGGGCTGTATGCTAGTAAGAGGGTTCGAATCAATATATTCCCATTTACTTTACTCGGCCAAATCTCTGGTGTGACCATTTTAAGGTCAAAAGGTGCCTGCTATGTTTGGATGCACGCAAAAGGTAGTCCGTTACATCCATGGTTTCAACTCGCATCATTGACTGATATTTTGTTACGCTGTCCGGCCCTACTACTTGCTTTTCCGTGCAATCTTAAATGTCTATATACCCTGACTAACCTCACTAACCAGGGGTCATTGCTTGCAAATGTCACAAATGATAAGTCGAGGGCTACCCCGGCTGGGTCCGTTGTTGAGCGGAGTATACTGACGCCTTCAGTTTGTACTTCTCCACTACTCGTCCAATCAAACAAGCGTATCCATCGTCTCACCATGTGTGACGTTCGTACGGCAGATGGCCTGAATGCCCAGAACAGCCCATCAACAGCAAATCGAAAATTGGCAACGATCGAGTTGTACGGCTTTTACACTCGATAATGCATGTCGCTTAACTGAGTGCACTGTGGAATGACCTTGAATCGTGAAGCGCAGTTAAGCGTCACGACGAGTGGTGACATAGTAAACCGGATTCACCGATTGATTGAAACCTAAGGATGCTTTGATAAGTTTCTGTTTGTCTGTCTGTCGTTTGTCTCACACTAAGGTCACAGACCGATTTCAGTGAAAACCAGCGGACACGTGTTCAAACCCTCGTAGAAACTTGAATTCCACTATGATGATCATAGCTGTGTCTAATTTCTTTCAGCTTACATCATTGTTCAGAGAATTCACTCACAGAGCTCTAATTTATAAGGGTGGAAACAGAAACACTCCTGTCTGAACCACATCAGTCATGCGTCTTGTTACGAAGCGATCTTGAGGAGAAAAGTGCAATGGAGTGGTACAGCGAGAAAGGACACGGCGCTCGTGGTGGCAACGATCGCCTGAAGCATGTGGTAGACCCAGTTTGTTGTGGCCTTAGCTACCTGATTTGAAAGTACGTGTGAACGATTATGCACAAAAGGGTGCGGTAACGTTTAAGTTGCCGTAGTAATGTGTCACCCACCATCATATACATATAGCTGGTTGAATAGTTCCTGTGCTTTTTTGTCGGTCAGGGGAAGTGAAAACATAGTGCACTCGTATTTGTAAGCTTAAAGATTCAACGATAACTTCTATGTACAAAAGGGAAAGGAATCAAAGGAAGACATGGTCATCGTGGGATCAGTCTCCTATGCACAGTAAGCAAGATTACGGCCCGTATCCCACTCAACCGGCCAACCAATAAAATTTCAAGCACAACGTTCCTGAAAAAGCGGGGTGGATTTCGAAGCATCGAAGTATGATTGACTCAATTTCTCTGAAAATGTAAATGCGAGAAAAATCTCCTGAACGGAATCCACCGCTCCGTGGAGCAATCCTCACTGGCGCATAGACATCAAGAATGCACGTACCAGGATGTCATGCTATTTTCACTACTGTAAGGCAGCAAGACCTGGATGCTGTGCAAATATGTTCGGCTTCTTCACAGATTTCACTTCCACTGTCTGCACAAAGTCCTGCGGACAAATTGGAAGGACCTAATCGCGAACACCAGCCTTTCGGAGAGCAAAACTAGTTGAAGTTGAATGCACTCCTATGCGAAAGCAGCTCCTGTGGTTAAGTCATTCGAGGCGATTAGCTGAAACTCGCATCTTAAAACAATTTGTCTATGGTTAGGTGAAGAACGGAGTTCGAAGGTGGGACACGCAAAACTGTACTATTGGGGCAGTCTTCACTAGGTTTTAGATCGTGAGGGACCTGGCAAAATCCCATTCACAGGGGCGTGATAAGCTCTGAGACGCAACGCGTCGCGATGCTTCAGAACAAACAGGCCATTCGAAAGGGGCTCTCCCTCCATGACGCGGGTTTGGCCATGTGGACCCGTACAAGATGCGGATGTACGTGCTCTAGCAGTATCGACCTTGTGGGTCATGAGCGTAGTCACCGGTGTACCTGCCGAACGTAACCTTCTTCTGATAAATAGCTGTCCCTCATTGTCATCTTAAGGATGACAAAATCAAATAACCAAAAAGTTATAGATTGCCATCTTGACGTAAGCCGCCCGTCAAAATGGTGTTATACGTTGAAACCTGGAGAAATTGACGGATAATGCTGAGAATCAATTACTTAACGCCGGTGTTCATTCTAATATGATCATATTTAGGCTGTGTGGTGTTCTGCAGACGGCCTATGGGTGTTCAACCACCGAGCTCATTCCCTCAGGTCTCCATCGGCGCAAAAGACTAATGTGTGGCACCAAATTGGGCTCAGCGCTAACTATACCAAGAGCTCGTACTATTTGTAAGCATCCCGTGATTTGATCACTGCTGACCGGTAAATCCGATTAGGATTGCAGCCATTCATGCTTGAGTTAAGGTTGTTCCCATTCCATGTAATGCTTCCAAACGTGCTTCAGCTAGTTCACAATAATTCCCCTGGCACATTGAGCCAGAAGAACAAAACATCAAGTTACAAACGGTGGGTCGTAGAAGCCATAACTAAGAAAACGACAACTAAGGATGATAACTAGTCAGCGGCTAAGTTCCGTGGAGCATGCATGCGAGTATTGAAAGACGGTTGAAAACGGAACATGTAGTAAAAGTTCGCGACGAAGCTACAGGATGATACAAGTAGACGTACGGCGTTACTATAAATAATAAAGATTCAAAAATGAATAGATACGATCAATCTGAATCCTAAAACTAAGCTGAAGTTGACGTTATGGCAACATTCTTTCCAATATATAAATTCAGATTTTATCGTGTTATGCTCACATCCCCATTTAAGCTTGCATACGACAAAAACCGAGCTGGGGTATTCGGAAAGATCGAAACACGCACTGTGTATTCGCTCCGTTTTTTCAAAATGCTTCGTAATTCATTGATAAACCACTTTTTCTCGTTTCAGCCTAGCTTCTGGGCCCTCAGTCTTTACCGTTCTTATTCTGATTTTCGCTGCAGTCCATCCCTCGTCGAACAGAACATGACGTTGTGTTTGTTTCTGTTATATATATA